CAAAAGTTTATTCTAAGGTTTAAAGTGGCTTTAAAAAAAATAATTGAGTCATTTGAGTTTAATGAGAATTACGTGGGAGGGTAAAGTATGAAATAAGAGAAGGAAAAATAATAGTTTTTATGATTCTAATTTATTTTTGATCTTTTTTTAAAATAATATTATTGAGTCTTTTATAATTTCATGGAACCTGAAACCCCTTGTAATCTCTATTTCCCCCATTAAACTTATCATATTAAATGTGATGATTAAAATTACAAATTGCATAATAAACAGCTTTTCCCTTAACCCCACACACACACACAATGAACCCTCTTCAGATTCCCCCTTTGCCAGGCCAAAGGCAAACTTTATGACTCTGTTGTCAAAATGTTTATCTAACACTTGAGAAGCGCTGTCCATAAAATGATAGAAAAAAAAACGCATTAAGAGAGCAAATAAACTTTTATTGAGATAGAATTCTCGTTACTAAAACAGATGTGCCCCACAGCTCGCCTCCCTGGATGGGTCAACGCTCACAATGAACAAATAGTAAAGGGAACGATCGTAACGAGTTTGGGGTTAGGAGGGTTATAAGGGGTAGGGTTTTTTTATAAATATATATCTAAGCTTGTATAGAAAGAAAGAGAGGAGCCAAAGCCAGCAGCCTGACAATTGTTTTATAATTATTTCATCATGAGCAAAGGGAAAAGCTAATGGCGAAAAGGGAACTTTTGGCTTGGAATAAAAAATATTTGTAAATGTTTAATACCTTATAATTAATTTGAAAAATAATATATTATTAATACTAAATGTATTAAATATTAATGAGTTTGAGAAATATTTTTAAATTATTTTTAAAGATAATTTCTAAGGCAGAGTCTAGGATTTTACAAGAAACCCTAGAGTAAAACTGACTAGGCTTTACAAAAATCAGTATACTAATTATATAGATATTTTTACGTTCTGATAATAACTAATACTTTATCTTTATTCTCTGTTAATCTAGAATTCTCTTAATTTATAAAAAAATATCACATCTAACTACCATCCCAAACACTTGAAAGTAAAACCATTCAACCCAGAATTTTCCCCCATTTGAACTCTCCCAACATGCCCGCGAAAGTGGCCACTGAGTAGCGGGTAGCATAAAAGGAAAATTGCTTAATTTATGTGTCATTTATCTAAATGGAGCAGCAGAGCAAAAGCAATGGAAGCAAAAAAAAAAAAAAAAAAAAAAAACACACACTCAGAACACACAGAACAGAACCCACCGACAACCGCTCTGTCTCCCTGTATTATTTTTATAAAGCTCCGCGATAAGCAACTGTCGGGGTTGGACTCTTGTGTCAGCGCGGCTGTGGTGCCAGCAGAGTAATTAAAAATCTTGAACTCAACTCTCGTTGCTTTTCTGCTGGGCGACAATAATCGCCGGCCAGCGAGGGGGGGGCATAGGGACAGGAACTGGGAGGGAACATGCGATTAAAATTTTAAATGACAGTTGACAGTTTCATCATCAGCATGTGTACAAGAGTTTTACATAGATATGGAGTCCAGATACCAGACCCCAGATAGTGAAAGAAGGGTTAATGTCGACAGGAACTGGCGAGCAGGTGAAATGTCACATGAGATTGACTTTACGGCGGAAACTAAAAAGCAGAAAGAGCAGAGAGGTGACAGAATGAGGGTACATCAAGTAATGGTTTTATTTTTGAATAAGTCTAAACTTGGGAAAGTCTATTTAATGCTATTTAAATATAGAAAAATATACTTTAAAGATAGTTATTAAACTAAATACAATTTAGAATTTAGTGCCTTTATTGACCTTAATTACCTTTTTCCCTTAACTTTATATTGTACATACCTTTATCAAACACTTTGTCATCTTTTATTTTAAAAAGGCTTACCTTAACACCTTTTATTTTTTGTTTTTATTTAAATATTTGCTTAACAGTTCCAGCATTTGTCAAATTCCAAGATAAACCCAGCAAAACAAACACCAAAAATGTGAGGAATTGTCAGCCAACTGACAAAGGCAAGCGACAAAAAGTCACTTTCTGAAGGAAAATATTTCCACATTTTTTAAACTGCATGCTTAACCCACTAAAAATCAGTTGATTACAAAAAATAACTATTAAAATCATTGTAAAAATTTAAAGAATTTATAGTTCACACAAACTTGTTTATTTATCTTTGATTTAATTATTATAAAGGCTTTCTTTTGTCTTTTTGGATTTCAATCTTGCTTAAAGTTAGTTGCCTGTCTTAAAGGGTTAACTCTACCTACACAAAGACCTCTCTTTGTCTCAATGCACTGCCTGAATTCCTGTATTTGCCCAGCAGATTAACACCTTTGGCCAGTGGACAATGGCCTGAACCCCATACCAAATGGTATTACCCCAGCCAGAACAAAGGCAGCAAATGCGTCGGCTTCGTCGGCCTCATAATCAAATGCAATGTGGCATTGGCTAAAAATGGAATTCTGCTGTCTGCACTTCATCAAGCGAAGAATAAGGCAAAGCAGGAGGAGGAGGAGGAGGTGGAGGGAAGCCCTGAATGACTGACTGACAGCTGAAAAAGTCACCTCACAGTCCCCTCTCTCTCTGCCCCAAAGAACCCGTTTCTCTCAGTGCAACATGCATTCCTCATGCCATACAAAACAATTGACATGCATTGTGGCTGTTGCTGCTGGGATGTTGCTGCTGCTGGATCTCCTGGTTCCTGGCAGCCTCTCAACTGCAGAGCCTCGGAAATTGTCACAGCAACTTGTGCCGCTTGCAGTTTTCCAAAATGAAGGCGAAATAAGTGAAAAAATATATAAAACTGGTTTTTATGGTGGCGACACAGCAAGAACTTGTAAATATTTAAAGTTTACTTTATCAAAAAATTGTTTAAAATAGTAACCTTCTTGAATATTAGTTAAAATCTAATTTTGCGAAAAGTTAAATAAGTTTTTCTTATATTTTTATAATATTAAAAAATAAATATATATTATAAATACTTTTTCTACAAGGTTAAGTATTTTTAAAAAGCAAATTGAAATTATAAGAAATTCTTGTCTGCTTCTAGCTTATTTAAATAATATTCCCAATTATTAATTCCCTATAATATTTCCCTCTCTGTAAACGTTTTCGCAATAAGGACACCGACTAGAACTGGTTCTGTGCCTGAGCCCTGCTCTTCATTTATCAATACTCGATCGGAGACCGAAAGTCCGGTTTCCCTGCCTCGTGCATTTCATTTGATTTCTCTCCATTCGGACTGCAAAAGCATTCTCAGGCTCAGATATATATATAAATTAAGATCCATATCGGAAGGGAAACTGGAACTGCGATTGGCAGAGAAAGAAGCCAACGGCAGGTGGCATTTCGTATCGGTTTCTGGGATAGATATATCCCCTGGATATGATACCAGACCCAGAATTGTGATTTATATTCAATAGTGTTAAACGTGGGCTTAACTCGTTTCCAGATTTTCCTTCTTTCTTTCGGTTAAAACTTTCAATTGGTTGTGAATTCTTCTTGGAGGAAGTTGCCCCGCTGACTGCCCGCTGTTATTTATTGTATTCGTTTACCGGCATTTTCCTGGCTCTCAGCTCGCTTAATTTGCCTCTGTCCATCTCTGTCTAACTCCTTTTAGACCGGGCTCTTGGCTTGTCAGCATGACATGACTTTTATGGCATAAAGTTATATTTCAGGCTCCCCAATCGTAGATAACTTCAAAGGCAGGCGATTTGTAAAGGCGCCATCTGGCGTTGGGAATGCGAATTCAATGGCTATAAATGTCGGGCCATCGATGGGTTAAGGATTTATGTTTAAGATTCCAGCATAAAAACTGCACTGGCAGTTGGGTTAAGCACTCTGAGGCATGGAATTGCTAGAGGAAGATGGGGATTTAAATTTAAAATATTAAAGGGGGTGATTAAAATAATAAATAAATTTTAAATAAATAATATGTTGAATAATTTGCAATATTTATAAGATGATTTACTTAAATGTAAAGGTATTTCTTCTCTAAAAAATGTTAGAAATATATTTCCTTTTAGGTAATTCCTAGAAAATCTTTATTTATTTTGTTATGAAGAACTATCTCTTTTAAAATCTTTAAAAATATATTTAAAAAATAAATTAAGTAACAAAAAAAACCTCGAAATTATAGGCCACTTCCTCCTTGAAAAAACTCAAATAGAAGTGAAATGAAGCGCTTTAATTGAAAGTATTTACAACTCAGTGAAGCATACGAAATTGTTCTGTGTCAACAGCCTGGAAAAGCGCGACAAGTTTTCACAGACACAAAAAAAACCAAAATTAACATGTCACCTAAGGAGGAGGAAAAAAATATATGTAAGCCAGATCCCAACGAGGGGCTAATCGATAATTTATGAGCGGAAATATGGCACGCCGAACGAATGATGGATTCATTAGGGGTATGAGAAATCAAAGGCGTGAGAGGGACCGGGGCAGGTGCGAGCTGGGGATATTGTAACATGTTTATAAATAACGCTAATGAGCAGCGGGCAGATCGGAGGGAACTAGGAGGGAGGTGGAGGAGGAGGCCCCCTCAACTCGTTAAATGTTTAAACAGGCGGCGTGACTTTGAAGAAGGGCGGCGGTTATCGACGCTGCCGTTTCGAGGCTATCGCTGTGTAAATATTTACCCTGAAAGAGGTACATGAAATGGTAAAATTAAACAATGTTTATCTCCCGTTTCGGTTTGCCTTGTTTTATTTTACCACCCTGCAATCAACAGTTATATTCCATGCAATTGTTGACATTCAAACAATGTTTGAGTTTCCAAAAGGTCAACAAGTTCACCTGGAAATTTGCTAAAAAGAAAGTTTTTTCACGTATTTGTTTGCTTAACAAATGATGATGATGGCGGGAAATGTTTATAATTCAATCAGCATTTTTTAAAAATAAGTTGGCTTATTGTTAAAACAATTATATATTTAAATGGGGAAGCCAATAAATTTTACAATTTTAATTTTAATTTAATAAACTCTGCTTTTCCTCTTATCCTTCCAGGCGACATCCTTTCCGGCGTTTGCTTTGTGGGCCAACTGGACACCCACTCGCTGGGCGCCTTCCTCATCCTGCCGCTATGCATTTACCTCTCGATCGGAGCTCTCTTCCTACTCGCTGGCTTCATCTCGCTCTTCCGCATCCGGACCGTGATGAAGACGGACGGCAAGCGAACGGACAAGCTGGAGCGCCTGATGCTAAGGATTGGCTTCTTCTCCGGCCTGTTCATACTCCCCGCTCTGGGATTGCTGGGCTGCCTGTTCTACGAGTACTATAACTTTGACGAATGGATGATCCAGTGGCACAGGGACATCTGTAAGCCCTTCTCCATACCCTGTCCGGCTGCTAGGGCGCCGGGATCGGCGGAGGCGAGGCCCATCTTTCAGATCTTTATGGTCAAGTACCTCTGCTCGATGCTGGTGGGGGTCACGTCCAGCGTGTGGCTGTACTCCAGCAAGACGATGGTCAGCTGGCGGAATTTCGTGGAGCGGCTGCAGGGCAAGGAGCCCCGGACACGGGCGCAGGCGTATGTCTAGTATGAGACGGGTCCGGCCAAGTCCGCGCCCATAACCACCCCCGAGCCCGATCCGGAGGCGGCCAACGAGAGTTACTTAGAGTTTAGCACCTAGACACTCCACACACACACACACACACACACAGCAGTCGTAGTTCTTAGTAGCTTTGTATAAAGTTTATAATCTTTGTTTTTCCACAAAGAAAAATGGAGAAGAAAATCAAAAGTTGACCCTAGGCTATTGTTTGAACCTTGAGATGTAATATTAGTTGATACGGAAGCAAGCTTGTTGAACCAAAACTATGCATATAAGTTGAGACTCTAGCCATAAGTCCTTGCTTTCATCGTATACGAACTAGTATCTCCCTTTTGATCCTTTAGTTTTCTCTGACGCGACTTGTATGTTGGGTTTTGATTGTTTTGAAAGCTTTAAATGTGCCCTACAATTAGTGGATATAGCGTATAGATACGATTACGATTACGAAATGAGTGTTAGGCATTAAACAGTAGACAGGCAGTAGGTCACTTCCCACAGAACACAAAACTACAGCTAATGTATAAACGAGAAAAGGAAACCATAAACTATTTAAATGTATTATGTAGCTATAAATGTCCTCCATGTGCTAAACTTAATGCAAATACGATTATTATAATTATAACTGTAACTCTTAACTGTAACTGTAATTCTAACTGTAATTGTATATTTGTTGAACTAATTAATTCTAAACGCGTATGGGAATAATTTGTAATTTGTAATTCAATTTTTTAACTGACGTTGTAGTCATAGCACCTAAGTGAACAAAAGCAAAAAGCAAAAACAAATGATGACATTTTTGTTGCCACTTTATGGAAATTTTTTCCCTCACCCCCCACTACGTCTTTTTCCCTCATTAAATAAGAGTTGAAACTGCCATTTAAATATTTGTAGACACGTGAAAAAATCACCGAAAAGGGGGAAGAACTGTTGAGCATTTGTTTTCAGCGCATTTAATTGAGTCCTCGAATTAAATTGGCACTAGTAATATACATACACATGTGAAATTAATGTCCAAGCCAGATTTGTGTAGCATTTAAGCCGATGGGAATGCATATTAATTATATAGCAACTATCGATAGTCGGTGTAACATAGCGAGTGCAAGCGAACAATTATATAAGTGTATAAAACCAGCATAAAACATTAAGAGCTTCAATGGAAGCATCCACACACACTCACACACACATGACTCACAACAAACGGAAAATGCAAAAATAAAACTTTATTTTATTGTTAAAGACTGAAAAAAATGTAAAGAGTGTTGTTATTTGTATGGGGGGAAACTGGAAAGGGGAAATATTCATTGAACGATGTTCCTAAGTCTTAAAATATTTGTCACTGGTCAGTATATATACCTTAAATCAAAAGAAATATAATATTTTCTCACTGCGGAATTTTAAAAATAATTGAAACCCAACTAAATAACCAGGGAAAACCTCTCCCTCACACCTATTTTAAGAATAACCCTACTCTTCACACAGCCAAAACTTTTCCCATTAAACCCAGCTACACATGTAAAACGGACAGCTAGAAATTCAATCATAACTTGGCAACACCCGCTGGCCAAGAGTACCGACAAAACACTTGGAACACATGGCCGTAAGCCTTGAAAATTTACGAGTGCCAACGAGAAATCCACGCCCATATAATTTTGATTACACTTGTTTTCTAAATACTCTCGCCCAGAAAAACCGCACAAAAAGACATCAAAAGCATTTGGGGAAAAAGGAAAATGCACGGCAAACACACAAAAACAAAGGCATTCGAAGCACATGTGTGCGGTGAAAAGGCCGAAATAAAATCCAGACCAAAACTGTACTTTCAGGGGGGAAAAGCGCTGGGAAAAATTATGTAATTCGTTGTTGAAAATTTTCTATAATAAGAAATATTTTTCAATTAAAAAATATATATTTAATAATTCAATTAAATGATTCTTGAATAATTCACAATTTTAATATTGTTTATTTTACAGTTCCCCATTATTTTTTACTGTGTAGCCTTTAGTCAGTCGCTAAGCTCCTTGGCAACAAATTGCAGTTAAAAAATAGAGAAAGTGGTTGGGGAAAATCACTCTAGCTGGCTCTCACTTCCCCGATTCTGGGAGCCCACGCAGAGGGACATGTATTAAAGGATATGAAGGATATGGCAATGTTTTACAAAACACGTGTGCGATTTAACAACTACAACGGCCACACGGAAAACTTTTCAGCAGCGCACACACGTCCCAAAAAAAGAAAAAAAAAACAGCAGAGAAAACTGCACACGAAAATGGAATCCAATGTTCGGCGGTGAGTTTTGTTGCGTTTTTATGCGACCACCATAAAAAAGTTATTAATGTGTGGGTTTTCAGGAGTGCGAGTGGGTCGGGAGGAGGTTAGCGAGCATGAGGGGAAAGTGGAAAAGCTGGGAAAGCTGGCTGCACACAGCCACAAAATGGCGCGGGCGTGTGCAGGCGTTAATGTGGCAAAAAATGTTTCAGAGCGAGGACAATTGTTTAGTAAAATACCGAATGAGGATGCTCTTTATACAGTTTATAAAAATTTAATAGAAAATATTTTAAATATTTTATGAGTCTAAATACCCTTAAGAGCTTTGTTTAAACTTACTATAAAACCCCTAAAAAAGTCATACCTCCTTTAAAAAATCTTACGCCTCCTTCTATTATCTAAAATGTATTTTCTAAGTTAAAAATATAAGAAATTTTTCTAGCAAATCAAACAATTTCTTACCCAAAGCAGAGTATTCTTCCATCGTTATATTTCTCCTTTGTAACTTTCCTCAACTTTTATTATTTGCAATGCAGTTTGCTTGCCGCTGAATGCGGGCGTGAAAATCATAAAGCAAAACATATGAGTAGATGTGAAGTTACTAAAAAAAGCCATAAACAAGGGAAAAGAACTCGCGGCCTGGAGCAGAAATAAACGCCCCCCAAATAGGACACTAGCGACGAGGAGCGTCGAAATGCGGCTGCACGCCCTGAGCCTGAGGGATTTCCAAATGGAAGCGGATTTGGGTTTGAACCGCCATGTCAGGCCATCAGCCACTACATATTTTCTGCAGCTTCTCATCTTTCATAAAAGTGGGAATTAATCAAGAGAGCCTGAGCCAGGAACAGCAGTTTGCAATGGGTTTTCATCAGAACAATTTGGTAGGACTTTAAAAAACTGGAATTTTTGTAGGAACTGCGTTTATATCCCCTGAGTTACATTCAAGGGAACTTTACAAAAATAATCAGTAAATTTTTGAAGGGATCAAGAGCGAAAAAAGAGATAATAATGTATAATAAATATTTGTTGATAACTCTCCTTATCCCCTTTTGGGCTACTACCAAAAAACCCATTTTAAAGTAGCCAAAAACGAAGTTCCATTTAATTAATTGGCCAAAATCGATGCCACACAATTGAGAGCGAGAAAAAAAAAAGATTCTCCCGAACGGAAGCCGCTTTGTGCCCGCCTGGGGGAGTTTGCAATTTAATTGCCATTTTCAATTAGGTAACTGCACAAAATAGACCAACAAAGAATATACTGCACTGCGCTGTGTAGTTTACTTAATTAATGTTCTACAGACGGGGGACTTACGGGGATTCGTCCCCCGAAAAGGGAGACACTCAATAGAGCCCCAAAAAGTGGGCAATGGAAAAGGTTTCCAAAGAGGAAAATGGCAGCAAACGGATTAAATGAATTTAGCAGAGCAAGATTAAGGCTAGATGACAAAGTAAAATATAGAAATAAAAATAAGGAATTAATTTTAAGAAATAAATCATAAAACTTTGAAAGAATGGGTAAATTTTTGTGATATTTTTTGGGTAAAAATCTAAATTTTGAAAGTCTCTAACTGAGTCAAAAATGCATAAAATCTAATTCGTAAAGCGTTTTTGTATTCGTTTTTATAAGTGTAACAAATCTGTATACTTAATTTATTTTTAATAAATTTCTATAATTTTATATACTAATTTTTGGAAAACTAAAACTGAAAATATCACAACTCCACCGAAAACGCATTAAATTCCATTGGGAAAGCGTTTCTGTGTTAGTTTTCATTATTAATATATTTAAATGAATATAGACATTTACTAATAAAATATCGAAGTATAATATTCTATATAAAAATCTATAAATTTACTAATAGCTTATGAAATTAATTGAGCTTAAGGCTGGATCCAATCCGTTTTCAACCCACTGGGCACCAGAATCTCAACAGCTGCGCTCAACTAGCAATGAAATTTCATTGCCCAAAAAGAAGGGGCTGCAACCCCCTGGAAAACCCCCGTCCAACCTTGGCCAATTCCAACTAGCTGAAATCACACAAAAGGCTGCAAGTCCACCGCAAACAAAAGAAAGTTAATTGCCAGGCCAAATAACAAGTCACCCCACAAATCTCGGCTAAAGGAGAGCGAGACTCGAGGGCTCTGGCAGGGGGTGTTGGTTCAATATTTGCCTTAGTTATGCCCCCCCGGAAAATCAGGCAGGAGATGCCCGAAGTAGCTGCTAATTTTTCGCCGGGAAAAGTCAATTAAATTTCACCAAGAGGAGGGTTTCCAAAAACTTTTCGGCGCCGAAAATGAATAAATGATGGAGCATGAATGTCAATCAAAGTTAAGCGCTGCAAAATGAAGACAAACAATCGAAAGGGATCGAGTTGGAATCCGGAAATTTCAGCCAAATAGAGATGAGTCATACGGTGGAAGGGGGCGGGCGGAAAAGCAGCTTCCATTAGCTCCAGGGGGGGTGGCATAAATTATGCCCCGCCACGCCCACAAATTGATAAAGTTTTCCCCATTTCAGATACGCCCGCTCCGCTGGCCCGGCTAATCCAACAATGCCTAATGACAGTTGTCGAAAAGTTTTCGCCCGAAAATCGATTCTAATGGCATCGCAAATAATCGAATCGAGTTGTTTATCGAAATGAATAGTTTGCGGGGTGGAGCTCTGCTGAAAAAGTTGTCAAATTTTATAGTTATTTGTGGGGTGGCGGCTGCCAATTTGAAAACATTTCAGTCTGATAAAAACCCTTTTAGCCCGAACTTTTGTGTGGCTTATTGATAAAGTTGCTGGCCAGGTTTTCACCTCTCTCTCTCTCTCTCTCTCTCTCTCACTGTTGGCCATAAATCAGTTTGGTCTACGAACTCCTGCAGCGAGGTGAGGCTTCAATGGGACATAAACCTTGCAGCAGGTGGCCCCCTCTTAGGGCTTTTCCTCTGAGTAATTAAAGCAATTGCGACAAAAGAGCCACAAAAATCCTAAAAACAGCAGGAAGCCAGAAAAGAAAACATATATATATATGAGGGAGCCAGTCGCTTCTAATCAGATTTACACTGCGGTTCCTCGACATCCGCACGAGCTTTTCTTAATTGTCATAATTTCTTTTTAGCGCTTTCGAAATGTGTCAAAATTATGTTAGTATAGCTCAGCGGAGGGGGAGGTGTTGGCGGCAGCAAATTTGTCAAATGGGAAAACTTTTTAATGGCTTTGGTGAGGGGGGGAGAAAAAAAATCATTTAAGGTTATGAAATATTATAACGACTGTGTGAGATGTGTTTAATTATGTCCTCAAGCTAAATAAGTCAAGTTGGTTTAAGTATGCGAAAAGCCAAGCTGTTTTCTTATTAAATGTATTTAAAGCTGACTTAAATAAGGCTTTAAAATTGGTATTTTTATAGGCTTGAGGGGTATTTTAAATTTAGTCTAGAGCTTGCTAAGCAGTAAAGAAGATATTTCCGACCCTATAAAGTATATATATTCTTGATCAGCATCAGCAGGCGAGTCTTTCTAGCCTTGTAAGAAAGAAAAAAAAAATTTTAATTTTTTCAAAAATTTTATAAGGGGTTACATCATTAAAATGTTCAAAAATTGGCCAAAATTTTGATTTTCTAAAATTTCAAATT